CAGTCCTGACCTTGTACATCATTACATTGACACAACAACAGTATTTAGGTCTATCTGTATCAAAAATGCTGTGAAAACTGTAATTTTCATTTTCCCTAAACCTGCATATTATAGAATTTAATAGTATGAAGTGACTTTACCATGTATGGCCCATTCCAGAAGCCCTTCCCACATCAGTGGTGACAGCAGGCCATTCCGATTGATGACAAACTTCAGTTCAAACAAACTGCAATGGAAATAGTAATATGTATATATAATATATATATACTTGTGTTGATGGGAGAAAACACCTGCTTATGTACAAATGGAGCACTGCACAATAGAGCAATATACTTAGTAACAATATCTATAGCAAGTGTGACCAACCAAAGTGGACCTGAGTGTGTAACCAACATGATGAGACCTGACTGTGTGACAAACCTGATGGGACCTGACTGTGTGACCTACCAGATTGGACCTGACTATGTGACAAACCTGATGGGGCCTGAATGTGTGACTATTCTGATGGGACCTGTGTGACTAACCTAATGTAATCTGTGTGTGTGACTATATTCTGATGGGACCTGTGTGCCTAACCAGATGGGACCTGACTGTGTGATTAACCTGATGGAACCTGAGACCTGGGTGTGTGACTAACATGATGGGACCTGGGTGTGTGACTGACCTGATGGGACCTGACTCTGCGACTGACCGGATGGGACTTGACTATGTGACTAACCTGATGGGACCTGGGTGTGTGACTAACCTGATGGGACCTGGGTGTGTTACTAACCTGATGGGACCTGACTATATGGCTTACCTGATGTGTCCTTATTGTGTGATTTGCCTGATGGGACCCGAGACCTGGGTGTGTGACTTACCTGATGGGACCTGTGTGACTAACCTGATGGGACCTGTGTGACTTACCTGATGGCACCTGGGTGACTAACCTGATGGGACCTGGGTGTGTGACTTTTCTGATGAGTCCTGAGTGAGTGATTAACCTGATGGGACCTGGGTGTGTTACTAACCTGATGGGACCTGGGTGTGTTACTAACCTGATGGGACCTGACTATATGACTTATCTGATGCGTCCTTATTGTGTGATTAGCCTGATGGGACCTGAGATATGGGTGTGTGACTTACCTGATGGGACCTGTGTGACTGACCTGATGGCACCTGGGTGACTAACCTGATGGGACCTGGGTGTGTGACTTTTCTGATGAGTCTTGAGTGAGTGATTAGCCTGATGGGACCAGACTGTGTGACTAACCTGATGAGTCCTGAGTGAGTGATTAGCCTGATGGGACCTGAGACCTGGATGCATGACTATAAGCTGATGACACCTGTGTGACTAACCTGATGGGACCTGGCTGTGTGACTAACCTGATGGGACCTGACTGTGTGACTAACCTGGTGGCACCTGACTGTGTGACTTACCTGATCAGTCCTGATTGAGCGATTAACCTGATGGTACCTGAGACCTGGTTGTGTGACTAACTTGAAGGAACCTGACTGTTTGACTAACACAAGAGGCCCAGAGGGCCTGTATCGCTCACCTGAATATCTAAGCAATCATGGCAAAATATTCTCCAAATGAGATCCAAGGGAATATGCCAGACCCCAAGGCCAATCCTTGTAGCATATCTGTATTAGATTTTTCATGCCCAGTAATTTTATGTATGGTTATAGGGTGGGGATCTCAACTGTTTCCAAGCTGTGACTCAGAGACTAGGTCCATAGGTTGTGGCCAGACCCCAGGATCAATTCTAATATCATGACTGCATACGTCTCTTTTTGCCCAGCATTTGTATTTATAGTTTTGGGGTGTGGATCTCAACTGTTTCAAAGTTATGACCCAAGGGTTAAGTCTGCAAAGGTGGGGCAGACCCTGGGATCAATTCTAATAACATGACAGCATTCGTCTCTTTATGCCCAACAATTGTATATATAGTTTTGGGGTGGGGATCTTAACCATTTCGAAGTCATGATCCAGGGGTTAAGTCTCCAAGGGTGGGACAGTCCTCAAGGCCATCCTGGAAGCATATGTGCATTCATTTCTTTATACTCAGCAATTGTATATATGGTTATGGGTGGGGATCTTAACTGTGACTAAGAAACTAGGTCCCTAGGGGTTCTGCTAGACCCCAGGGTCTATTCTAATATCATGACTGCATTCGTCTCTTTATGCCCAGCATTTGTATGTATAGTTTTGGGGAGGGGATCTCAACTGTTTCAAAGTTATGACCAGGGACTATTTCTCCAAGGGTGGGGCCAGACCCTAGAGCCATCCTGGAAGCAACTGTGCATTCTTCTCTTTATACTCAGCAATGGTATATATGGTTATACGGTGGGGATCTCAACCATTTCCAAGTAATAAACTTTTTTTGGCCCCAGTCCTTAGCCCGGGGGGTCAGCCCCAAAATTTTGTACAATTTTGAATTCCTGCCTCTGTAGAATGCTTCCGACCAAATATGGTCGATATCCATGGCACAGTTCTACAGAAAAAGTCGCTTAAAGCAATATAGCCAAATTGCCCCCTTTTGGCCCCGCCCCTCAGCCCTCGAGCTCTGGGGGTCAGCCCCACCATTTGTACAATTTTGAATCCCCTCCACCTACGGATGCTTCCAGTTTAATATGGTTGATATCCATCGCTTAGTTCCAGAGAAGAAGTAACTTAAAGCAATATAGCCAAATTGCCTACTTTTGGCCACGTCCCTCAGCCCCCTGGGAAGTCAGCCCACCATTTGTACAATTTTGAATCCCCACCAGCTAGGGATGCTTCCAGTTAAATATGGTTGATATCCATCTCTTAGTTCCAGAGAAGAAGTCACTTAAAGCGTTATNGGGTGGGGATCTTAACTGTGACTAAGAAACTAGGTCCCTAGGGGTTCTGCTAGACCCCAGGGTCTATTCTAATATCATGACTGCATTCGTCTCTTTATGCCCAGCATTTGTATGTATAGTTTTGGGGAGGGGATCTCAACTGTTTCAAAGTTATGACCAGGGACTATTTCTCCAAGGGTGGGGCCAGACCCTAGAGCCATCCTGGAAGCAACTGTGCATTCTTCTCTTTATACTCAGCAATGGTATATATGGTTATACGGTGGGGATCTCAACCATTTCCAAGTAATAAACTTTTTTTGGCCCCAGTCCTTAGCCCGGGGGGTCAGCCCCAAAATTTGTACAATTTTGAATTCCTGCCTCTGTAGAATGCTTCCGACCAAATATGTTCGATATCCATGGCACAGTTCTACAGAAAAAGTCGCTTAAAGCAATATAGCCAAATTGCCCCCTTTTGGCCCCGCCCCTCAGCCCTCGAGCTCTGGGGGTCAGCCCCACCATTTGTACAATTTTGAATCCCCTCCACCTACGGATGCTTCCAGTTTAATATGGTTGATATCCATCGCTTAGTTCCAGAGAAGAAGTAACTTAAAGCAATATAGCCAAATTGCCTACTTTTGGCCACGTCCCTCAGCCCCCTGGGAAGTCAGCCCACCATTTGTACAATTTTGAATCCCCACCAGCTAGGGATGCTTCCAGTTAAATATGGTTGATATCCATCTCTTAGTTCCAGAGAAGAAGTCACTTAAAGCGTTATAGCCAAATTGCCCCTTTTTGGCCGTGTTGATCAGCCCTACCATTTGTACAATTTTGAATCCCCACCACCTAGGGATGCTTCCAGTCAAATATGGTTGATATCCATCTCTTAGTTCCAAAGAAGAATTCGCTTAAAGCAATATAGCCAAATTGCCTNACAATTTTTAATCCCTGCCTCCCATGAATACTTTTGATCAAATATGATTGATATCCAGTCCATAGTTCTACAGAAGAAGTTGTTTGTAGCATTAAAGCCAAATTGCCCCCCATTGGCCCTACCCCTCAGCCCCCTGGGGGGTCAGCCCCACCTTTTGTACAATTTTGAATCCCCACCACCTAGGGATACTTCCAGTCTAATATGGTTGATATCCATTACTTAGTTCCAGAGAAGAAGTCGCCTAAAGCAATACAGCCAAATTGCCCCCTTTTGGCCCCGACCCTCATCCCCCTGGAGGGTCAGCCCCACCATTTGTACAATTTTGAATCCCCACCACCTAGGGATGCTGCCAGTTAAATATTGTTGATATCTATCACTTGGTTTAAGAGAAGAAGTCGCTTAAAGCAATATAGCCTAATTGCCCCCTTTTGGCCCCGCCCCTTAGCCCCCTGGGGGGTTAGCCCCACCATTTGTACGATTTTAAAACCCACCACCTAGGGATGCTGCCAGTCAAATATGGTTGATATCCTTTACTCAGTTCCAGGGAAGAAGTCGCTTAAAGCAATATAGCCAAATAACCCTTTTTGGCCCCCACCCCTCAGCCCCCTGGGGGTTAAGCCCCATCAGTGTGCAACTTTGAATCCCTGCCTCCCATGAATGCTTTTGATCAAATATGATTGATATCCAGTGCATAGTTCTACAGAATAAGTTGTTTGTAGCAATAAAGCCAAATTGCCCCCTTTTGGCCCCGCCCCTCACCCCCCTGGGGGGTCAGCCCCAACATTTGTACAATTTTGAATCCACACCACCTAGGGATGCTTCTAGTAAAATATGGTTGATATCCATCATTCAGTTCCAGAGAAGAATTCGCTGAAAGCAATATATCCAAATAACCCTATTTGGCCCCGCCCCTCAGCCCCCTGGGGGGTTAGTCACACCATTTGTACAATTTTTAATCCCTGCCTCCCATGAATACTTTTGATCAAATATGATTGATATCCAGTCCATAGTTCTACAGAAGAAGTTGTTTGTAGCATTAAAGCCAAATTGCCCCCCATTGGCCCTACCCCTCAGCCCCCTGGGGGGTCAGCCCCACCTTTTGTACAATTTTGAATCCCCACCACCTAGGGATACTTCCAGTCTAATATGGTTGATATCCATTACTTAGTTCCAGAGAAGAAGTCGCCTAAAGCAATACAGCCAAATTGCCCCCTTTTGGCCCCGACCCTCATCCCCCTGGAGGGTCAGCCCCACCATTTGTACAATTTTGAATCCCCACCACCTAGGGATGCTGCCAGTTAAATATTGTTGATATCTATCACTTGGTTTAAGAGAAGAAGTCGCTTAAAGCAATATAGCCTAATTGCCCCCTTTTGGCCCCGCCCCTTAGCCCCCTGGGGGGTTAGCCCCACCATTTGTACGATTTTAAAACCCACCACCTAGGGATGCTGCCAGTCAAATATGGTTGATATCCTTTACTCAGTTCCAGGGAAGAAGTCGCTTAAAGCAATATAGCCAAATAACCCTTTTTGGCCCCCACCCCTCAGCCCCCTGGGGGTTAAGCCCCATCAGTGTGCAACTTTGAATCCCTGCCTCCCATGAATGCTTTTGATCAAATATGATTGATATCCAGTGCATAGTTCTACAGAATAAGTTGTTTGTAGCAATAAAGCCAAATTGCCCCCTTTTGGCCCCGCCCCTCACCCCCCTGGGGGGTCAGCCCCAACATTTGTACAATTTTGAATCCACACCACCTAGGGATGCTTCTAGTAAAATATGGTTGATATCCATCATTCAGTTCCAGAGAAGAATTCGCTGAAAGCAATATATCCAAATAACCCTATTTGGCCCCGCCCCTCAGCCCCCTGGGGGGTTAGTCACACCATTTGTACAATTTTTAATCCCTGCCTCCCATGAATACTTTTGATCAAATATGATTGATATCCAGTCCATAGTTCTACAGAAGAAGTTGTTTGTAGCATTAAAGCCAAATTGCCCCCCATTGGCCCTACCCCTCAGCCCCCTGGGGGGTCAGCCCCACCTTTTGTACAATTTTGAATCCCCACCACCTAGGGATACTTCCAGTCTAATATGGTTGATATCCATTACTTAGTTCCAGAGAAGAAGTCGCCTAAAGCAATACAGCCAAATTGCCCCCTTTTGGCCCCGACCCTCATCCCCCTGGAGGGTCAGCCCCACCATTTGTACAATTTTGAATCCCCACCACCTAGGGATGCTGCCAGTTAAATATTGTTGATATCTATCACTTGGTTTAAGAGAAGAAGTCGCTTAAAGCAATATAGCCTAATTGCCCCCTTTTGGCCCCGCCCCTTAGCCCCCTGGGGGGTTAGCCCCACCATTTGTACGATTTTAAAACCCACCACCTAGGGATGCTGCCAGTCAAATATGGTTGATATCCTTTACTCAGTTCCAGGGAAGAAGTCGCTTAAAGCAATATAGCCAAATAACCCTTTTTGGCCCCCACCCCTCAGCCCCCTGGGGGTTAAGCCCCATCAGTGTGCAACTTTGAATCCCTGCCTCCCATGAATGCTTTTGATCAAATATGATTGATATCCAGTGCATAGTTCTACAGAATAAGTTGTTTGTAGCAATAAAGCCAAATTGCCCCCTTTTGGCCCCGCCCCTCACCCCCCTGGGGGGTCAGCCCCAACATTTGTACAATTTTGAATCCACACCACCTAGGGATGCTTCTAGTAAAATATGGTTGATATCCATCATTCAGTTCCAGAGAAGAATTCGCTGAAAGCAATATATCCAAATAACCCTATTTGGCCCCGCCCCTCAGCCCCCTGGGGGGTTAGTCACACCATTTGTACAATTTTTAATCCCTGCCTCCCATGAATACTTTTGATCAAATATGATTGATATCCAGTCCATAGTTCTACAGAAGAAGTTGTTTGTAGCATTAAAGCCAAATTGCCCCCCATTGGCCCTACCCCTCAGCCCCCTGGGGGGTCAGCCCCACCTTTTGTACAATTTTGAATCCCCACCACCTAGGGATACTTCCAGTCTAATATGGTTGATATCCATTACTTAGTTCCAGAGAAGAAGTCGCCTAAAGCAATACAGCCAAATTGCCCCCTTTTGGCCCCGACCCTCATCCCCCTGGAGGGTCAGCCCCACCATTTGTACAATTTTGAATCCCCACCACCTAGGGATGCTGCCAGTTAAATATTGTTGATATCTATCACTTGGTTTAAGAGAAGAAGTCGCTTAAAGCAATATAGCCTAATTGCCCCCTTTTGGCCCCGCCCCTTAGCCCCCTGGGGGGTTAGCCCCACCATTTGTACGATTTTAAAACCCACCACCTAGGGATGCTGCCAGTCAAATATGGTTGATATCCTTTACTCAGTTCCAGAGAAGAAGTCGCTTACAGCAATATAGCCTAATTGCCCCCTTTTGGCCCCGCCCTTCAGCCCCCTGGGGGGTCAGCACAAATATTTGTACAATTTTGAATCACCACCACCTAGGGATGCTTCCAGTCAAATTTAGTTAAATTCCAATCAGTGGTTAAGAATAAGAAGTCGTTTAAAGCAATTGTTGACATACAGACGACGGACGGACGATGGACGGACGACGGACGCCACAGTATGGCATAAGCTTCGGACCAGGTTTGCTAATAATGGGACCTGACTGTGTGACTAACATAATGGGACCTGACTGTGTGACTTACCTAATGGGACCCAACTGTCCCACACTGTAACTAAACATGTTGAGGTGAGCTATTTGTTCTGCAGTTGTCATGTCCGACAACTCCTTGCCTCTTCTTGGCCTTCTCACTGTTTCCTCAGCATCATCCTGTTCAATTATGTCAATAACATAACATAAATTGTAACAAGATATTTCTGTGAACTTTGTATTTAATTCCAAGATATATTTGTATATCTGTACATAACATCACAGAGTAAAGCCTTCTTTGTGGTTCTGTGACAAGATCAGTATACCTATTTCGTTGGAATGTCAGATCTTAAGGTTACTCGCAAATCAGTAATACTGTTTACAAGGAGGAGTTCTCAAAACTCACATTGTGAATCACAGTGAACCATAAGCAGAATTTATGAGTGATTTTATTTCAGACTGAAATGCATATTCTTAACATTTATCACAGTCTGCAGGAGATCCAGAGGGATCTTGGCGCCCACCATTGTACCATCTTCTTCATTAGATCTTTGTCAGTGTAATCTTTTCTCTTCTTTTCTCTTATCTGTTTGACCTTCAAAGTGAGTTTGTCATTTCACATAGTTACTAGTACAGTACTTAATAAGGGAAAAATAGAACCAATCATTGCAATATAAGAAGGATCTGTTAAGTTCTTACTTCACTTTAAAAATAGAACATGCACAACTAAGGATCAGGGGGACAAACAGATCAAATTTAAGAAAGATCCCTCAAGTACTTCCTGAGAAATAGCACTAACAAATCTTCAATGCCAAAATCCAAGATGGCCATCTGTTCATGCACAATAAAGGACCATGGGGAGCATTTGTATCAAATCTGAGAAAGATTCCTTTTTAGCTCATGATGGTGAACTAAACATCCAGTTGTTTAAAACATAATCCATGATGTGTGGTAACACATCTTGGAGAATAATGTTTGCAATTTTAATTACAAGAAACATATAATTGACTACATCAAACTCAAAAGCAGTAATAAATCAAATATAGCTGATCATATCGAACTCAATAGTCTTAAGAATATCATAAATAGCTACAGTACTCATAGAAAATGAACTTCATATACCATCACAAATGTGAAGAAAATGCATTTAAATCCTTGTATTTACGTTGAAAATAACAAATGGTGGAGCACGCATTTCTGAGGGAACAAGGTCCCATTTTTCATGGTTACCAATTTTTGTCAAGTAACAAATCTTAATTGAACAATTTTCAGGAAGTTGTGTCAAACTTTTCATGCCACAAGCTGGAATGTTTTTTCATAGGCTATACAATTACATTTGAAGTTTTTTTAATCGTTTGCATTCATGAAATGTATTAAACCCCAAAAGATGAGGTATTTTTACACTTACCTCATTTTCACCCTCCATTATCAAATCAAGATTCATGTGAATGGACATCAAGGTTTGTAAGTTTCCATAGAAACAGACTTTGTCATCTTGATTTTTGAACAGATTTAAGTCCAGTGTCACCAGTTTATGTGTACTTGTGATGATGTCATCATACTCAGGTGTTTTCATCATCACCAAAGCACTAGCCACATCAAATATGCCCTTTGCATTACATTTGCTAGCTGTATCTGTAATGTGAAAACATGGAAAGCTTTTAGTTATCATCAACAATTCTATAGACATTTGTGATGATTAAAATGATTGTATGAATTTATATTTTATAAAATGAAAATTTCAGTGTACAGAAATCAGAGAGCGATACTGAAGTAGAGCGCCATCTAAGACAGGTTTTACAATAAGATATATGGTGGAGCATCAACACGGGGATTCCATTACAGTGGACTTTTTTATTTTGTAGACTGAAACAGAACTTTTGGTGTTTAAACTTCACCATTTGCCATATTCAAGACACAAAGGTAATATAGAACTTGACCGTGTGTAAAAGGTTAACAATAATGAAAGTAAAACATTACTTGTACATGCTAGTAACACATGATGGGGCAGATACAGATCAATACGCAGAAAACTGTATTTAGTGAATTACAACATCAACCCTGCCTTTACCATGGACAGTGAACTGTCTTGTACCTTTCATGAGTCGCTGGATTCGAGTGAGAATTTCGCGCACCACCTCCTCAGGGTTCTGTTGCTTGAGAATGCATTTCTGCACACCCCCAGCTGGAATGTTCATCAGAAATTTGGTCCCTACCTTGTTGGTATCTGTCAAAATAAGTTTAAAACCTTTTCTTAAAAAGCAAACAAACCAATATCATGAATAAATATAGTGGAATCATCTGATTTGGAAAGAAATCAGACATAATCAAATTCTTTTTTAGCAACATATTTTCATATTCTGAATATTGTATAAGCCTTGAGAAGACCAGGTTATTCTCCTCTTTCTGGGTAAAAGTATTTCTGTAAGGTGTTAACAAATGTTACACAGAGTCTTGGTAAGTCTACAAGAATGTCATTGTGTTACCCGTTAGAGAGACTCACACTCATCAGTATAAGATAACCATCACATCATACAACACTAACCTCTACAGAATGGCCCCGTATGCGTGACAGGGAGATGTTTGCTTGGAATGCTGGGACAACAGCTGTGTACAATGATGTGAGTCAGGTTTAGACTGAGTTCCCGGGCCACCTTCTCCAGTCTGGAACAGGGCAAATACAGTTGAACAACCCCACACATTGTTTTATCAGTCTTCATACAGAGCCATGCACAATTATTAGACAGTATGTATTCTCCACTTCACCATAAGGCTACTGTATTGTAGCTGTACGAGTCTGGAGACTGACCTAAACAAACGGTGACTACTTACCTCGAGGGTGGGATCCTCTTTGAGAACACCAGTCTGCCCAGTGTGTAGATTGGGCCTTCGTTCAACATCTTAAAATAATTTGTCGGCATCACTATGGTTTCTGTTATAAAAAGAATAAAAGATTGTATGATACTATTAGCTTCATTAACATATGCTTATAAGGAATATAAATACAATGTGTTAAGCATAAGCTGGTTTGTATTGTGATATCATTAACTAATAGAATCTAGCACTTGTGTGGTGTAGAGAACATATGTTTAGCTTAGCTTAGATTAAGAATCTAGCACTTGTGTGGCGTAGAGAACATATGTTTAGCTTTAGCTCAGATTAAGAATCTAGCACTTGTGTGGTGTAGAGAACATATGTTTAGCTTTAGCTCAGATTAAGAATCTAGCACTGGTGTGGTGTAGAGAACATATGTTTAGTTTTAGCTTAGATTAACAATCTAGCACTTGTGTGGCGTAGAGAACATATGTTTAGCTTTAGCTTAGATTAAGAATCTAGCAATTGAGTGGCGTAGAGAACATATGTTTAGCTTTAGCTAAGATTAACAATCTAGCACTTGTGTGGCGTAGAGAACATATGTTTAGCTTTAGCT